TATCGACGGTGATCTCCTTCTTGATGAAGATAGCTTCCTCTTCTACCTCGGCATCAGGAGCTCCTCCACTTTGGTCCAGCTGCTCCGCTTCTGACATCTATGACCGCCGACCTGTAAAAAGACGATTTTTAGGGAGGTAAAATGGCAATAAAAGAAGCAATCGGTAGATAGTCGTAAAAGCGCATGAATCCTAAGAAAAACGATATTTCCCTCACACATTACCTAACAACAGCTGTGATCTTTCAGGATGAATGAAAAGTTGGAGTCGCAGACTGTATAATTATGTACACTTATAAAGCTATACAAAGTGGTAAATCCGTGGGCGACCTCGAAATGGAACTCCCAACCTTTAAATTTAGAAAGTTAGTTTTTCACTAGAGTTGTGATTACAAAAATGCCACGGAAGTTGTGAAGAAGTAATTGAACCTGGACCTCAAGCGCGAGACGAAGCCCCGCTCAGTACTGTTGACCGGGGATAACCTGTAGGGATTTTTATTAAAAAATAACAAAAGAATCTGAAGGGATGGGAGGGAGGATCGAGCTTGAGTAAGCTATGGAAAACCTTCAGCATTCACTTTACTATTCACAAAGAGAAGAAAGAGATTTCGTGCCTGCCGGACCGACCGCCAGTTATTGCGAAAACGAGAGAGTCGCTACACATCAGCTGTTTGGTTAGCAACTATTTACTGAGTAACACAATAAAAGGAGACATTACAACAGTAAGAAACGAATGCAATTGAACATGAAAACATGCATCGTTGAGTTGACAGCGGTTTCATCGCCAAGGATTCGTGAACCCTACACAATCATCGTGAGGTTCAGTACAGCATTAGCAGGTTGTAGGGTGACGCTCATTGTTTGAGCAAGAGCAAGCCAATGTTGTTCAGAGGTGATACGGGCTGAGTGTGAGCGAAACGGCATGAGGTGATGAAGGAAATCCTAAACCGCTAACCGAAAAACGATTGGATAGTCTCGACATCGAAAGCTCTCTGCTTAACAGCATTGGAATATTTTATATGAGCAAGCCAGAGTTAGTCTAGAGCTGTTAGAAGTAGGCTTAAAGTTAATAGCACATTACAATGTTCTGTAAAGAGGTCATAAAGAATAATTCATTATATGAATACCCAACCACCAAGTCAGGGTAAGAAAAAGAGCGCCAGCATCTCTCAAGTGCCGCAGCCACCTCTCAACGAGTATGCCAAGCTTGCACACTTGCACATCTACAGCATACAGCGCTCTGGTAATCGTCTATGAGTTCTTTGACGCTCCCTCCTCGTTTTGGAGAGCAGATCGAGTTGTGTAGTGTTAAGTGAGTGGGGTAGCAAAGGCGCAAGCGTGGGTGGAACATCGTCGTGGACATGCTTGACGGAATGAGGAGAGCCGGATAGAGAGGATGAGCATGAGTTGAAGAGAGAAATTGTGATGGATGCTTGACTTGAAGGAGGACAAAGAGAATGTTAAGGTGATACAGATGTTAGCAGATCAACAAAAACCCAAGAACTACGGAACAGGGTACTGGTCGACAAAGTAAAGGTTACTCTTAGGTAGTAGCAGTACGCATGGGGTTGTGGGGTGGGTAAGAATGCCTTGGTTTCAGCTGTTGTCGAAGTACCTGAAGCAGTAAATCACCTAAGCGCTTCAAGCTAACGTTCGAAACATCTGTGAAGATCTCAGATTTCATTTCTAGAGCTAAGGATGAGGATTCTTTGGTCTAGAGAAAGGAAAATCGTTCTAGGAGGCTGAGGAGAGTTTCTGAGCTGAGCAGTTGAGGGAGCATTTAAATACGGAATTTCAGAGGAAATTTCTCCGATATTAATTCGTGGTAAGTGAAGGATGCATGGCTGCAATGACGTCGACTGGTGGCTTTTATTTTTAGCAATAATGATCAAAAGGTTTTCTGAGCTGAGCGTCACGTGCGGTAATATCATCAATGAACACCTCAAATGCACTCATGCTGCCATTCCAATGAACAATTTCTCCTACTAAAAAAAAATAAGTTTCGAATTTCATAGGTATCCATGCATAGGGGAAGTTACAGGAACTGTCAGTAGGAATTCCAGTAGAGATTAGTTAATATAGGATGACTATGGAGAATATTATATTGCCTTTGCCAAGGAGGTGGCCAATGGGAAAGAGATCGGAGTGTAATCAGAGCTGAACTGAAGTGTAATCAAAATTCGCCCACTGGTCCACAAAACGCCATCCCATCCGAGAGATGAGAGATTCTGGGTCTACCCACCGCTTGCTGAAGCACATTTGTTCCCCGATCTCATGTCGATCTCTTTATTAATATGCTCTCAGAAAACGTTATCATCATGGAAAAAGTGAAGGCAGTCAGTCGCACGTTCTTCGGTCAACGGGAAGCCGTGAATAATGTACGGAACAGCGGGGCCGATTCTCAAAAATCACAGCTCCCAAACGTTTTTCTCATAGAATATCCTGCCCGAACTCATTGAAAAGACCACCCTCAACGCGTCATTCATTCGATTCAAGCTCTGGTCCCTACTTTGACAGAGTTCCGGTACAAGTTAATTACTTGTATCCGGTTCAGTACAACAAACAAGTGAAGTGCACAGTGCACAGTTCAACGTCTTCGAGTGCCATAAAAATCCGATTTTAGCGAAAACAAATGAAACACGTGCTTCAGGCCTCTTAAGCTCTGACTGTACAATGAATGATCAGAATGTCAAGAAGATTCATTGTCGGTGGCATGGCTAGTAGGCATCGGGCAAACGGACAACTGATGGAAATAAGCTACGTCAGTGGTCGTGTCCGCCTCCACCTCGACAAACGGGCGTATTTTGGGAACGAGTGTAAGATCGGCATCTTAGCATTCATAAATCAAGCTTCATGAACCTATTTACCATCATTGTGTTCAATTTATTGCAACTGCATGTATAATATGGTCGGTGGTTCACGCTATGGCGTCAAGTCTACATGGTAGTGGGATGGTACAATTTGGTAGTACCAAGTATGCTGACGGGAACTTTCCCCGGGTACTGCTGCACTATCCCATCATGTTTTAATTTGAAAAAAAGTCTAAAAAGTAATGAACACACTTGAGTTTGATCTGATTATACTCATTTTCTACCGTAAGCTATCATTTCAAGTTATTCTAAATATTCTGGCCAGCTAACAACTGGTCTGAATGTATGGTTTTTGAAGCTTCAGGCATAACTTAGAAATTTTTGCATTTAACTTAAGTTTTGTAAAAAATAAGCTGTAACCGAATTTGCAAAAAATGCAGTTTCACAAATCACAGGAAATAAAAGCGTTTCTCACGAGCATTTGCCCTCGTTTGCCAAGAAGAAGCCGGCTCAACCGCAAAGTTATGTGTGGGTAGGGTGAGTGGGTAGGTGGAAAGCCGTTCTTACCACAAGCACAATGCTTGGATCAAAACCTTCCCAAACCACCCACCCCATTGATCGGCCACATGGCAGGACGTTTTTTTTTTGGAACAGAATGACACAAGCATATGGACGATGAATGGTGTTAGCAAGTAGTAATTGTCTAAGAACAAATTTTATGCTTCAACGATTGGGAGAGGGAATCAAGTTTGAGGTGGATACGGTAGCGGCTGGGGAGGATGCTCAGAACTTCCTCATTCCTACCAAGTATAATACGGCACAGTAACACGTGCCGTTCCACTTAACACCATACCAGACTTCTTCAGAGGACCTGCTCGACCGGCCTTTTGGTTAAAGAGAAAACACAGGAAACTGACACTTAAATCGAAAAGCTGAAACACTAAAGAGCTCGAAAATCAGTGGCACCTTGAGCGAGTGGACGAGGCGACAAAAGTTTTCAAGAAGGAGGCAGGTAAATGGAGCTGTTGGAGGTTGAACTCGAAGAGGGTGAGCTCAGAGAAGAAAAGGCAAAAGTGATGGGAGTGCACTATACTTTACTGACTCTTTCCTTACTCGTTATCATGTTTTAGTTCCAAGCCTATTCACAGAATAAGTATCGGACGGGAGCCCATCATCATCAATTATCCGTTGGTTACCTGTTAACCTTTACAACCCAGGACCACCAGCTAAAGTTTTCAAGAAATGAGAAACTCATTTACCGTTGCATCCCAGTCACATAACTGAAAATCATACCGTACTTGAGTATGACCTTCCTCTAGCGACAATTTCGTGAAATAATGGTTGATTTGGCTTATAGCACAATTATTCGTCGGTCTGTTCAATTACTAAGGAGACTATACCAGTAAACACGAAAGGAGAATATCTATAGAGCTACTATCTGTTCATGTAAGCGGGGTCGACAGTGATAGCCATGAAACGGCAACTCTACACCTTTCTCACGGTTTTTCGATGAAACGAAGAAAAAGTCAGGAGTTGTAAAGAGTCCACACTTCAGGGGGCAAAGCACGAGCCTGATCTCTTGGAAAAACTCGGACACTCAAATGTAAACTGCTCTTTTTCAGTTTTGACATACATTCTGTTTCGTTTTGGAGCGATCGTGGTATTTTGCAGGGATGATCACCCTGAGAGTAACTTGTAAAGTGAAACAGTTATTTGAAGTTGACTTCCTGTTCTTCTAGGCATGAGTGTTACAACATGGTAACCAGTAAGGAACAAAAAGCCCGATTGGTATTAGCGAGGTTCAAGCTCGGGGTCCAGCAAATGGTTGGAGTGCCCTTTCTTCTCAATTACAAGTATCCACATTTTTAGTAAAAGGTGAGCTAGGGGAGGAATCTGATGGATTTGCTCTAACAAACTACTCCACATGTGAGAAAGCTTACTAAACAATTCATTTTTCCAATCAAATGAAAGCATATGGAGAACAATTTTTTATTGGTGTACAAAAACAACAATAAATATATATATAAATACATATTACAACTTTATACTCGTAATATTCATCTGTCCACGGGACTTCGTAGAAAAGATTGTGGGAAGCTTTGCTGCAGCTTCATCCACCTGAAAAATTTTGATCGGAACAAAAAAAAAAAAAATCGTCGAAGCACAACAGCCAACTGGCTATGATCATTGGTCTCAGTCCTGACGGAACTGAACGAACGAGTCGACATTTCTTACCTCGATCGGAGTTTTGTTTTTTGTTTCAGGCAGTTTAAAGTACAAGAAGATTATGGATGCGATAACGGGTGCCACAAATAGTATGAGGTATGACCATGATTCGCCAATTCCATTTTTCATTGGCAGGAATATTGTTACAATTATAAAACGGCTGAAAAATCAATACACTATTAATGTGCATCAAAAAGCTGTATTTTGTAAATGCATTATCATTATTACAATATTTTTGTTTATTAGTTACATATCATGCTGAATATCAGTTTCATATTATGCATACCTACATGGTGCTGCTACATATCACAAAAATAGCGTGCATTATTACAATATGATCTACTTTACAAGGTTTTTTTTGCTGTTCACCGTAGTGGACAGTATAACTTTGATGCCAGTGAGGTTCTAGAAAAAAGGCTCTGGGGGTAGTCTGCAAGATGCCCTTAAAGAAGTCTGGATCACATAGTATCGCTTCAAATACAGGAACACCTGTGATTGGTTGGAGAGGATAGCCCACCAATCAGAGGCATTCTAGACGAACTAGGAGTATAATTTCTCAACAGTTGCCAAACCCACTGAATACAACTGTTTCCCGAGGAGAGTAAGGTAAAGATGAGAAAGGTACCTGTGGTTTTTTGGTGACATCTGTCAAGCAAAACAACGTCCCGCACTTTCCATACTTCCCCTCTTCCCCCCCCCCCCCCCCCCCCACGCAAAATGCAAAACAGCGTACCACTGTTCTTTTTTTTGTTTGAATCTGTTTGAATATGTTTGTTGTTGAATCTTTCTGTTGTCCCCACATTTATTTCAAAAATTCCTCTTCTTAGGGAATCATTAATCGGTGACAAGCTCCAAGTGATGGATAGACAACACGGACATGAACATCGGCCCGCTGCTCAAGCCACTGCCTGAACTCAGCAGCGTCCATTACTCGGTTATAAATGGGGTGTTGGATGGGTGGCATTTTACTAAATTGTTTGTGTTTGTGCTGACAGTCCCATTAGTATTTTTAATACATTTCAAACAATTTTTTCGTTCCTTCACTATTTTCCTGAACGACACGGAGCAAGTGTATCTGCTGACTTCGAGGACACATGCAGGACAACCACAGGGAAAATCACCGCCCACTCAGCGCTGTGTTGCAGTTGTTCCTTCCTATATCAACACGAAAACGTAACGCTCAAAGGCGGATCGCGATGAGGAGCTCCGCTCCCAGTGGGATTCCAGAGAAACATAAGGTTCTGATTTGATGGGGATCTGGCATTGAACCATTTACCACGATTTATTGAGGTAATCCGTTTCCTAGAATCCATCAAGCAGGTCGTTTTTGCAAAAGCATAACCCCTGGGAACAACTTAAAAAATCAGCCAGTAGGTTGACATTTTTCATAAACTTAACATTATGATTGTACCAGTTCAGTGGGAATAGAGGACAGTTCAAAGCCACAATACACACTCGATACCTTGATAGAGCTTCAATCCCTTCGAAGTTTGTCAATAGCTTCATATACAGCTTAGGGATCAGTACGCCAGATTATTAATTGATTAATTGATTGGTAATTTTTGATTGATTGGTAATTCTTTGCATTGGTAAAATTTATTTCTAATTAATATTTGATTAGAAGTGAATGCACCCGTAAGCCACAAAGGTCTGGGGGCACTGAGAAAGCCTTTCCTCCCCAACCCTTTTCGGTTACCTCTGGGTTGCAGAATGGTAACTTGAGTATTGTATGGAAAACTTGGTGGTCCTTTCGTAGTACATCAATTGTGGAGTAATTTCTTACCGTTGCCCATGGGTCGATGTAATCGCCGTCGTTCTAATCTTTTGCATTAGAAATATTTTACTATACTATGTCCACACTGGCATTGGCAATCGGAAGAGATCAGAAAACGGAAGGGAGCGGTGAGGTACTTCGGAAACGGGATCGCTAGTCACATTGCTAGCCGTGTCCCATGAACACTTTTTTAATATGGGCCCCCTTGATTAAGGTGGTCGATAGTGGCTGTGGGCTCACCTCTGAGCTCCCCGTAGGCTTGGTCGACACTCCCCCCCGCCCGTTCTTACAGCTAATGGACTCCACGATCCGCCGTTTCTAGATGGGGGCCACTTCATCAATCTCAATATGATAAACCATTCATTACGAGTTAGAGAACGAGCGCGAGTGACTTTTTCCTCCGATCACTGATCGAGAGCGTGCACAAACAGCTGTCGATGTATCTGTCGGCATAATTGATTACTAGAAAAGCTTCTAAGAAAAGAATGTGATTGTTTATCTGAATAAATCTGTTCCCGCTCAGAAAAAAATCACACGATGTAGGCATTCTAAGCAAATAATCCCAGACTAAGAATAAACCCCCACGTGCAGTGTATCGACCCTATTTATCAGGATTTAACAAGCTGTTAAACCTCAAAATTTCAATGCTGTAGCTCTGGCTACACAAAAAAATACCTGTGGTTTGATGTACAAGTAATACAGTTTTTTCAAAAGTAACCCGTCTTCCGAACGTTTGACTTTTTGAATGGAATTTTTCTGAACAACTAGACTATGGTGAAACCTATACAATTCTGTGTAGGAAAACTGCTTATGTTTCCGAGTGGATGGACGGCCAGAAAAAAACCGCTCATTCGACATGTCCTTTCCCGAAAGTACAACGCTCCTCCCATCTTATTTCCCTAATCTCGATTCACAGGAATACCAGTTTGCTCCACTTCCCGATTGTTTCAGGAAACATGACCTTCAATGATGCTATGAAGTCCGAACTCGTTAAGAAAGCTTTGCATCAAGAATTTTACATCTAGAGACACAGATAACACCGAATATGGCTTCAGAATTTCTCTCTTGTGACCCTAAGGAGAGCCTGAGTTGTTGGGTCGAAAAACGGCCAAGATAGGGCATAATAAATGCTTCAGAATATGCCTCGCCGACATACACACCCCTAAGTGGACGAGTTCCTAAGTGTTGAAAGAGTCGTAGAAATTGCACCATTCGCACCAGGACCCATACCTTGCACGCGAGCAACTCAGTGCAGCTAGCTTTATGCAATGGCGCGCACATTTGAACAACTCGTCCGAATAGCCTTCCACTGCAACTTCTGTCGTGGCATTCCCGTCCAATCCCTACCTAATTTTATTTCTTTTCAGGAGTCTTCGATTCCTCTGAATGTTCATCTTTTTGCGATGTTTTGATCTGTCACTTACATTACTCGTGTAAAATTAGTTGTCCAAAAGTTATTGTGAATTGAGCTTTTACCTAAAGAGGAGCCGCAAAAAACAGGAAGACAGCTCAAGGTCATAAATATGCTAAAAACGTGATTTTGCTGGATATTTGTTCGAAAAAGAACTCACCTTTACTATTAAAAGCTTTTTACTAATATAAGCCAGTCATTTCTTTTTATCAGCCTAACAGTGAGCGAAAGGGAAAAGCGAAGAAATGTGGCATACCATAACATTTGCACAACACTAGCCCAGCTCTGTGCTCCACTTCGAGCCGCTTGTCCAACTAGTTCAGCGGTGATAAAGTAACACAATGGACCAGGTCCAATAGCGAAGAATATAATGAAGACGCAGATCACGAATATCAAAATAAAGCCAATTATGTGATACTGAAAAAAAACGCTCTCTACGAAATGTTCTCATCTTGAATTTCAACAGTATTAAATATCATTCGGCCGCGTTTATTGGCACAATCTCTCCCCACTAAAGCTCTATTTTAATTTTTACGGTGTAAAGTGCCCTGAGGGTCGTTCTTCGTTCTTTCGTTTCCGGCTGGTACCTGCCAATAAGTGCTTGCACTTGTAACATCCATGTCAAATCTGTCAGAGACTCCTGTTCCGGCTGCATGAGGGCGAAATAAGGACAGTTCCGAGTTCTGATCAGTGAGGCATTGCCGCCGGCAATATGGTTGGGCTTCGGGACATTTTTTCCCCGGATACTTACGTAGTTCCCAAATGCTCGAGTAATTAACTAGTAACTTGGACTTGAACACTACTCGGTACGACATAAAAACCTATTCCAGTAGGAATCATCTTCAAACTAAAGCCACTAGCCTCACACAGACCTTTTCACTGATTTTCAAAATCCCCCATTCCCCGAATGAACACATCCACTTGGTCCTAACAAACGAGACAAGTGACTGGATGACCTCGATGGAAACTAAACTTATTTAACTTGTTTTGACTTGATGTTTTGTTAACTGTTGTTATTCGTCGCAGTACGTGTTCTGAAAGTCTCACAAGGTTGGCGATTTGTGGACAAAACTTCAGGATCGGAGGGGACTCGAACCCGTACTTGTCCTCTCCGGGAACCGTGCTCTTATCCCTTACACTACCGAGACCCGAATTGATTTAGTTTTTGCCCCGCTCTTCGTTAGAGGCGGAGGTGGTGATGTGGCAAGTCGCGCTACTAACACACACGTTTAGTCAGGGGACCGACTCACGAATAGATACTCGCACTAAAAAGACGACTCTTGAATGGAGGTCGAATGCGGGGAGCATCTCTCAGACGGGATTGACTATCGTCAAAAGCTTCATCCAATATCCTTGGTTGCTCTTCTTTGAACTTGTATGTAGAGATACAACGGCATATACAATAGGTCTGTGCGGGAATTCAGCCCGGGCCTCTACCAGTAATGTGCCGGCTATTGTCATTGACAAGCCTAGACTTGATTTCTTCCTCCCATTTGCAGGCGCTGCATACATATTAGGTCATACTGGTCACCACTGGAGACAACCGCACCTTCCGCTTTCTTCGAAAATGGAGAGGAATTCGGAGGATTCGAGAATTTATCCTAAATCACAGGTGTTCAAAACGGTGAATTCGCCTGCTACTACCTCTAGAGTAAAAATTAGTGATGAAAATCCCCGAGGAATATATTTGGGGGAGTGGGGTGTTGAAGAGGGGATCAGTATGGAATTCACAAAAAACTTACCCCTAACTTGTCGAATGATAACATGAGTGCAAATATAAGTAGATTGCAGATCAGGCAGCCCATGAAAGCCATCAAAAGTAGAGGTCGTCGTCCAAATTTGTCCACAACCATGGACGAGATCACAATAGCGAACTAAAAGCATAATACTTTCTAATAGATTGTGATAAATTCAAGTACATTTTTGTTGTAAGCCATCAGAGAAGTTTGTGGAATTCCTGAAAACGGGAGCACTTTACATGGCGCATCGCAGCCGAAAGACAGCTCGATGAAACTGGGACTTGACTTTTACATTATAGTAAAATATAACTGGCAAAAATACGAGAGGTAAATAGGATGTGGTACAGTAGCATGTTGAAATGACCACCTTGTCGTCAAGTATGGCTCCAAAGTATTTTACCACTCAAGACATTCTGATAGAAAAAACCTCAAGATTCTTATCCGCTCCGTTAAAAGCAACTTATCTCTCCTCATCCTTTCGCTATATTTCATAGATTACTGGGAACTTCTCTAGTGCGGGTAGGGACAGTTATGCCCGTGAAATTGCTTTAGGGTGTGAAAAAAATCATAAATGATTTGCCTTATGAACTGATGTCCCCCTAGATGTACTGGCGCGAAGCGTATTCTGATGTTTCTTTTATGGCGGGCTACCTAATGAGTAACGGGATGAAAATAAAGTAGGTTGATAAAGGATTTTTGAGGCATTTCCATAACGTGGTAGAAATATCAATGGCGCTGATCACGACAATGAATGGCGAACAATGCGACAAAATCAAAACAAAAGAATTATATGACTTTGAAAAAGTAGTAAGGAAGTAGGTCGTACGAGATGATGTGTCTATAACTGTCTGGGTGTCTCTCACATAAGCGTGCTACTCGCTGGCGTCCTAGTGCTCCATTGTGATTGATGCAACCTTAACGAGGCCGTCATACCACGACCACAGTGGGTGTGTGCGACGGTCAGACCATTTTGGAGTTCTTATAGGAGGTCGGCTTTAGTCTAGGCATATCCCACGTGCTATTTTCGGAACCATAGATTCATTCCTGGGCGAAAACTACGGAACAGTCGAAGAATCGACCATTGACAACATATTGCTGATTTTTATGTCTATTTCTTAATGCTTCTAGATTTTACTTCCTGCCTTTGAAGTTCTGTCTAATCTCTGTTATGTTAGCTATTCATCCAACCAATACGGACGATGAGTCCCTGAGATATGGATTGAGCTGATCTTTTCGCGCAATATTTTTGATCTCTGAGGGGTATATAAAGCCCGCCATTCGAGTGCTCAGTAAGTCTTTGTTCGAAGTCCTGAGAACAGTGGTCTGTCTGATACGAGTTACTATTGGGTTGAGTCATAAGTCCTCGGACAATGTGTTAGTGATAAGTTCTAGAGATCATAACCCGGGAAAGAGGTGACGAAAATGGACGCGGTAGGCCTCCTTAGATAAAGTACAAAAAGCTCCTCCAATACCTACTAACGAATACACCTGACCGTTTCCTGCGCTTGAGCGTGAGGAGAGAAAGTGCCATGTCGGCGCGGTAGTCCATGTCATACTGCTTCAAAACATGAGGCACCCATCGACCGAGCTTTCGCACCTTGCCGACTGACTTCAATCCACGAATAATTGTGGATTGACTGCCCAAGTGGGACTGCCAGTTCACAGTAGTTTGATGCGGATCGGCTTCCACCTGGCTCCGCAGCACGTCCAAATCCAACTCCATTGAGCTTCCCGGACGAACTTCAATTCCGATGGAATAGTCGTCCGACGTCAACTTTGTGTGCCACTTGTAAATTGTGCATCTAGCAGGAGCAACGCTTTTGTGAATTTCCTTCCTACGTCTATCGATTGCCGCGAGTTCTTGATCAGATAAAGAAAGAAGTAGGATGGTGTTGCGGAGGTGGAGTTGCGACGGCTTGAAATCATGGAGCGCGGTTGCAGGAAAGGAAACGGTCAGGTGTATTCGTTAGTATGCATTTGAAAGGGCTTTTCATACCCTATCTAACGATACCATGCGCGTCCATTTTCGTCACATCTCTCCCAAGTTGTGATCACTAGAAGGCATCACTATCATTTTGTCCGAGGACTTATGACTCAATCTAATACATAAACTGAATCCTACTGAATGAGCTGTACTGTACTGTATAAAGTCCCGCGTGGCAGAGAGCAGAAGAAATAACAAGTTGTACTACAAGAACCAGTTTTGTCGCCTAGAGATGTGACGTCATTCATAAATCACCCTCTTGGGCACCCAATAGTTGTTTTTGGATTACTGGAATGATTACTCATTATATTAGGTCGTGAAGAAAGTTTTTGCGTTTTTTGACGCTTAGTTTTCAACTGCTCGCCCCGGTGTTATTTTCTATTAGATTTTTTGCAGGTTTTATACCATTCTGAAGCGCATTTCTTGCTCTATCCAAATATATAATCGGTTTTCCCTGGAATAATTCCTGGGGTTTATTAGAAGGTCGAAATCAGCATGGACAAACGACAGATCCGCACGATTTTTCTTTTCCAATTCAAAATGGGCAGGAGTGCAACGGAAACGGACCGGGATATCAACGATGACTTAGATCTAGGTACGACGAATTGACGCACAGCACAGTGGTCGTTTAAAAAATTCCGTACCGGCGATGAGAGCCTGGAAGATGATGAGCGTAGTGAGCGGCCATCGGCCGTTGACAACGAATAATTGAGAGCGTTAATGGGAGAGAATCCACGTACAACGCTGAAGGATATTGGCTCGAGATTGAGTGTTTCTAGCAGGACGGTCGGCACCCACATGCGGGAGATCGGGAAGTCGAAGAAGCTCGATAAGTGGGTGACGCATGAGTTGACTCAGCACTAGAAAGACCGCCGCTACGAGCTCGCCTCCGCCTTGCTTCGACGCAACAGGAACGATCCATTTCTAGACCGTATTGTGACGTGTGATGAGAAGAGGATTCTGTACGGCAACCGGCGACGATCAGGCCAGTGGCTGTACAAGGAACAAGCCCCACGACATTTTCCCAAGCCGAAGCACCATGGAAAGAAGGTCATGGTGCTGGTTTGGTGATCTGCAGCCGAGCTGATCCACCACAGCTCCATGAATCCGGATGAAACCGTAACAGTCGAGAAGTACTGACAAGAAATTGATGAAATGCATCGAAAACTCCGGCTCATGAGCCCGGCACTGGTGAACAGAAAGGGTCCAATTCTACTCCACGACAACGCTCGGTCCCACGTCGCACACCTTACCCTGAGAAAATTGATGGAGCTAGGCTATGAAACTCTCCCGCATCCACCATATTCCCCAGGCCTTGCCCACACAGAATACCATTTCTTTAAACATCTCGACGGCTTTCTCAAGGAGAAATGCTTCAAAACTAAACATGATGCTGCCGCGGCATTCGACGATTTCATCTCCTCTAGATCTCCGGAATTCTACGCGAATGGGGTAAACTAACTTGTTTCTCGTTAACAAATGTGTGTCGATAGTAATGGTTGTTATTTCGTTTTATGAAGTTTTGTTTAAGCCGAGATATGTACATTTGAAGTTTGAGGCGCAAAAACGCAAGAACTTTCTTCACGACCTAATAAATAGCCGACAACTTACCACGCTGACCAACGCTATACCGACATTAGCCAACGAGGCTTCGAGCGAATTCAGTCCGGTGCTAAGCAGTATTTCCACCGCATATGCGTTAATGACTGAAAATTATAATGATAATAACTATGTTAATAATGATAATACTAGGTAAAGGGCCCAACTGCGAAAGCATTTACTCAAACGATAATACAGAGTTGTTATAGACGTTGTGAGTACTTTGTTTGTTATTAATAGTTTTGAATGCACAGATAGAAACAAAACAAACCTGATACACCACTGAACGACATCGCGAACATTACTACCATGCCAATAAACGTCTTTTTCCTCAACGACCCCTTCTTCATCACGTCGGTCATTGTATAAACCTTGGTGTACCGTTTTTGTTCTTCCTAAAATGAGGTTTTAATTCAGAGATTTGAAGAAATATGATGATGCAAGACCCTTTCCAAGCTGTAGTCTCCAAGTTTTGAGAATGGCTGGCTCAGTGGCCTATGTAACCGCGGAGAACGTCCGTTGCGCGCGTCCGTCGAAAGTAGATCACCCCGCCCACCTTGCGCGCGGCGCACCCCACTGTGGTCTCAAGGTGACGCGATGTCTGTCAAGTATCGCGGGCCGACCCGCCGCAGCCGTCGCATGCGACGGCTGCGGCGTGACTTAGTTTCGACGGAGCGCACCCATTTACCACAAGGCCGGATTTGGTTCAAAAGGAATATATCTGCCCAAAAATTCGGAGTTCGTCAGAGTTTTCCATCCACTTCTACCATAGGAACCATATCAACTTGTACGCATAACATATCAACAATCTCTTATTTGCTTATTGGTCTCTATAATTACCGAACTATCGAACCGAATCCATAATCCAAATGCACTCCGTGGATTATGGATTCGGTTGGAGTTCAGTCATTATAGAGTTGAATAAAGCTGGGAACAAGAACGTTCACAACTAGCATCGGCCTGTCAAGTCTTCGGATATGCTATGCCCATACAAGAGAGTAATATCGTTTTGTAAAACTTCTTCAAAACCTCAGAGACTTTCAGAATATCCCAGAAATGTATCAATGCTTTTCGGAGATACTGTGAGGTACTTACCGTACACCCTGATGTATTTATAGACAATGCATAATGTAGGAAATATATAGCTATCTACTCGAATTCAAGAAAAGATTATGATAGCGAAAGGAAAAGAGTTACTATAAGGGTAATGGAAGAAGTTCAGAAAGATACGAAGTTAGAGGGAGGAGATCATAGGCTGCTTTTACACTTCAACGATCCATCCGTCCGTCCGTCCGTCCGTCCAGTGTTGCGGTCGCGTTGCGTGCATGCGTGCGACAGCGACCCTAGCCACTTGTCGACCGTGATGCAGTGATCCAGTGTTGTGAACAAGTGGCTAAGGCTGCAGTCGCACGCACGCAACGCGACCGCACGCGCTGGACGGATGGACGAACGGATGTCGAATTCTGAAAGCAGCCATAAGTAACTATTCTGAATTATAGGCTTCACTCTGCAGACAGAGTACAGCTATATGGTAAGACGTCTTTGCTAACAAGTACACTGTTCGTGAAATCCGCAATGGTTGAAAGTTTACCTTGATATGAGACAGGTGCTGATCAGCAGCCTCATCATTACATTTGTAGTAGAACTTGAGCGACTTTTTTGCAGCTTCCAGAGCTCCTCGTTGTACGAGAAAGCTGGAACTTCAGTTTATGAATTACCTTTAACACGCTTTTGCCATTTTTCATTTTTTTTCACTATTACACTTCTTCTGAACCCTTTGCCAAGGAAAATATTTTGGGGCGCGATGCAGTAGGAACGAAATTGTCGCGTTGCGGCGAGAGGGACGCCGCGCGCGGAGGAATGTAGCAAGATGCAGCAGCAGTCAAGAAATATAAGAACAAAAGTAGTAATAGTAGAATCAAGCCTAAAATAATAATCGCATATCGATCGAGCTGTAAGAAGAACGCTAGAGCTGTAATAACGGCGAATGAGTGGTCCGCGACAGCCGCGTGCGGCAAATCGATTACCCAAGATCGATTCAACTGCCCGTCTCCCAAGAAAATCTATGGGGTCAGAGGGTACGATCGCTCATGAAGTGTAATTTATACCCAGAAACCGTGAATGTTGCTGAGAATGGTCTTGGTGTAAAACTGATGACTGAAATGTTCTATTCACTTACCCTGGTGTTTCTGGAAGAAGCGGGAAAAATGTTACACACACTAGCATCATTGCAATTTCACTAACATATATATACGGCCTGTAAGAAGAAATGAAATTTTACTATAAAATCGGTGAAAAGCTTTGTAAGCTTGCGATCGTCTTGAATATCGCTCACCAGAGATCGTAGGTACCCAAAACTTGAGGCATTGCTATAACTGATCCAACAACGGTACCAAATTGCACACAAGTACCAGTTATCATTCCAATTGCACCGCGACATTCTTTAGGGCTGTAAAAAACGAAATATGGATAAAATTTTTCTGATATTCAGAGCAAAATTCTTTTTGTGATTGATCCCTATCAAACGAGATCCCCTGGCCACTAAATAAAGCACGAAACAACACTGAGAAAACAAAATGTTGTTGCTGAAGCTGACTTTCTTGACTACTTGGTCAGAGAAAACTAATAAGTCCGGGCGGGAAAGTACAGGATGCAGGATGAAAAGGCTTAAAGTGGTTGCACAACCGGACTCTGCCCACAGGGGGCGGGGATTGCGCCAAATAAATGCTTGAGCGTGACATCATAACTCCTATTATTGTCATACCTATCGTCAGTTATTATTGCGTGTTCAGCGATCAAGTCACTTTGGACTCTCGCCATTATGAGGCTCTGTTATGGGATTGCAAAGAACTGTTGAACAAATGTGTTTTTCATAAGTTTTAGAGGTAGTTATCACGACAAAGCTCGGAACTGAAGACCTTACTATTATACTTCTTCTAAAATAGAAAGACTGATGCTGTGAGGCTTCACTCTAACAATTAATTTCTGGGTGTAAAGGCGAGCAACTCGAAAATCGATTCTTCCTCAACCTCCAGAGAAAATAACAATTAATATGAGCATGCTCTACGACTACACAAGCCGAAGTAAGTGGTGGGACAAGCCTTGCAGGACTCACCTTGATTCTGACAGAAACAGTGCCGCCAAGCCCAAACTTAAACTGACAGAAAAACCAATAGTTACTCGAGAAACTGAGTACATTATAACACTGGGAATCTGAAATCATAAACAACTTTGTGCTTACTATAGCTGTTAAGTGCTTTGTTCTCTTTAGCTTCCCCTCGGCAGTAGCAAGATTTTCTCCACTATCTTTAGCCCTCTTTCTACATCCTACGGATATTCAAGGCCAGCTTAAATGTTCCTGAGGTTCTTCGGATTTGTATGAACGTGGAGACATTACCCTGTAGGGTTTCTGTAAAGCTTGCAGCCCAATTCTATGAACAAAACCGCTGCACGATGGCCACTTTTTTTGCTAGAACTTTCCGAACGAATGCCTTCTGACCATGAGCACTGAGCGTCATGAGCATCCACGATTCTAATGATTTTTCATCGTTAAAGTTGAGTTAGCGAAAAGGAAGGCAGCGCTGCAAAGGAGTGATTCGCTCAAGAAAGACTGCTTGAGGCAAAACAAGTTTAACGGTGATTTCTTGAATTCGAGTGAGGATCTCTAAACATCCATTTGGCCTTTCTCGTTGGCAAAACAAAATCGAAAACTATTCTCAGGAAACAAAATTTGTCGTCAAGAAAAGTTGAAGGCTCTTCAAATACCTCAGAAATTTTACAGTGAGATATGCCAAAGGACAGAAAACAGAAATTTCCGTCTTTACCTGAACCCCAATCCACGTAAAAATTTCACCTAAATGGCTGCGAAGCTTTGGCTATGACAGTACCGTCTTGACTGATAAACGTCAGAAGTTAGTGAGACCCACTTGGTCATCTAAATTGAAGTGCCGGTCCTTTCGAGCCCAGTATCTTCTCCCCGAAAACGGCGTCGCGTCACCGCACCCGATCGCGCGAAGTCGCGCGCTAAGAAGGGAAAGGTTGGAATTCCAGTACAAGGATAGGGTAGCCGCCGCGTGGGAATTCGAAAAGAAGTTTCGGCACACGGTTCTTTCGACTACTGCTGACGCAAGAGTTAGGGTCTACGCGACAGATATCCTTCCTTATTTCTTTTATGTTTCCTCTAAGTCTGTTGACAAATTTCGTTTCCATTCGAACTTCTCTTATCATGAACTACATGTACTACATAGTAGTATATAGGTGGCCCTTATGCAGGCTTTTTGAATGTCGTAGACAAATAAATAAATAATCAGTAAACACTCACAAACTTTGACCCTACTGAGAGACCGGCTGAGATAACACCGATTGCGGTTGACACATAAAGCCCTTGTTTTCGTCCAATTCGATCAGCAACTAATCGAATTGAAAAAGATCCAGCAAGTGCACCAAGAAATAGTATAGCGACAATAAAACTCCATATTTGCTGAATAATAAGAATGACTGACCAAAAGGACTGATGAAATCAACGAGTTTCGCAGTGGATAGGAATAAAAGCTGTATTACTTACAGATAATGCATTGTCGCTTGCTGTTATGTGAAGTTCAGATTGTAAGGATTCATTGAGAAATTGCATGAAACCACTCTGAGCTGGATTCGTGATTACCAGTTGGTAACCAAAATGGAATGAACCGCCTAGGGACACCAGTAGAGCCACGACTACCATTCGAAGGCTCGGTTTTCGTTTCATGGTTTTCTGAAAAAGCAGTGAGTAATAGAGTTTCAACAAGTTTGAAAATTACATTTAGCGTTGGGTCCTAATAAGGATCTGTGATCAAGGAGGAAATGGTTATGAGAACATTGAAACAGAATATGAAAAAATAAATTTAATGGGTGGCGAGATTCTGGAAAGCTCGAACACGAAAAAAAAACAGACTGAAATAAATATAAAATGAGCGAAATTCCTGACACTTTCAAATAGTACAGAAATAATGAGAGCGGAACTCTTCGAAGCTTCCGACTGGGTTTCCTACGAAGAAATGAAGCAACGGCCACGGTCGCCAGTTCCACCACGACTCAACTTCTCAACAATTTCGCGCTTCTTGTGAAAAAAGCTTTCTTAATTCCCCGCCGACCCTCCTTGCGTCAACACTTCAATAACGTTCATACTACTTGTATGATGAGCCCGTTTTCATGCTATGTGTGCCCTTATGGTTATAAGGAGCAACTCTTCTTCGGAGAAGTTCAATCTTTTTGGCGGTTAATTTTAGGGTGTATGGAAGAGCCTTTACATATCTGTGGACGAACATACTGCAGCGATGATAGAGTTTTTACCTGTTTTGAGATTGAACAGACAGCGTAAGATATTGCTGAGTCAGCTGTACTGAGAAGCCGTACGTCCATTCCTTTGGGGTCAGCGCCTATTCGAATGTCATGGATTTCAGCCATGTGTATAGGCATCTTGCTATCACCTATGGTGGGCAAACAAACGTCATATATTCCTTCTTGACCACTGCTCACAGTCTCTACTTTGTCCCTTTCATGTGTGCACCACCTACCGCCTCCACTGCCCCTAGCGGTACAGCGCTCTGATAGCCCCAAATCTCTTTGAATTTTTCAGATACAGGAAATGGGTTGGTCCTTTCGATCGCGTACTCTCGCTTTTCCCCCGGGTCTCGCTTTTTTCATGTCTTATCGAGAGTTACGCGACAAATTCATCTTACATCCTTATCATTGCAGGCAGTTTTCTGACAGTTAAAAAGGTCTCCAAGCAGCTACAAGGTGTAATGTCGCGCGGAGCATTTGCGCCGCAGAATAATTTCCGCGGGGCAGCTATCACGCGATTTCATCGTTCGCCGTACGAGGCAAATTCGTGTCCGACCGTACAGTGTGTGTGACACATACATGCATCCGAGTTCGTATATTTGGTGGATACTTCAGCAGGGGAACCAAAATGCAGACTATGAAAGGATAAACAAAATTTAATCAAAAACAAATAACGATTGAATGTCGTAGCAAGCAACAGTACAGGTGCTTAAATGGTTGACGCTCTCGGTATTATTTAAATGGTGAGTGTTAACAAAAATGAAACAAAATATGAAATGTGACTATGCCGTTAGAACTCATGCAGTCTACCAGCCGATGAACTTTGAGTTTACACGGGCATTTTTTCAATTTCTTACTGAGCAAAGAAAGAATTTGGTCAGCTAGAAAACGGAAAGTAAGAGCCTGATTGAGCAAGAAATGTCTCTAACAACAGTTCCGTCCGGAACTGTCCATAAAAACTGTTATTCGATGACTAGTCGTCCTTTGTTCCTCGAACAGCAATCATCATTTTATAAGAATTCTACTGGTTACCACCGTTGATTTATGCATTTTGAGGAGAAAGTAGGCGAAAAGAAAATAAATTGAATCAGCTGAGTCACTGGTCGATTTTCAGAAAACCTATTGTTCCATTAGTACGTTTCTGCTTCTGGAGCAATGAGTACTTGGAGGAAAGCCTTGGAGCTTTTGACCAGCTGTTACGGTGGCAGGGATAGTTCAAACCTGAAGTCATGGAAAGCATCTATACACTCGAAGGTATTGAGCATAGCTATACTAATCAAAGGACATATGTTTAACTCAAGTGCAATAGAAAAATAGAATTTAAAGAGTTCGAATATTTCATCGCTACAAAGTCACAGATTTTCTAACATGAAGAAAAAATGTTTTTCAAATTTTACATATCACAATGCTGCTTTTTTTTTAGGCGATTTTTTGCGGTCTTCAAGTTAAACTTAAGAGGCATCGTTTAGGTGATTTGAGTGTTTTATTTGGGGTGTGGTGCAGTAGGATCGGCATTGTCGCGTGGGGCGAGAGGAACGCCTCGCGCGAAGGAGTGTAGCGGAAGCAGCCGCAGGTAAGAAATACAAAAGGACTAGCATTAGAATCATGCATAATTTGATGACTGCGTATAGATTGAGCTGTATGAAGGACGCTATAGTTGTAATAACGATGGAGCGAATGGTCCGCGACAGCCGAATCGATCGACACGAACCGATTCTACTGCCCGTCTCCCTTTTATTTGCAGTATACTACTCTTGTGATAACTGTACTTGAGTAGTTCTTGACAGGCACATCTGACCATGGCTGAATAACGTCGCCATTCGAGAGGTTACCTTTCATTATTAATCATTACACGAGTAACAGTCGTGTGAACACAACACAAAAAAACGGATGTATCATCAAAACCCGGCAATTTCGTAACCAGTAAAGCAACACAACAAAAGAAACAAACCCATAATTGAATCACGCAGTAAAAGATTACTTGGCAAATGTCAACTATGAGAACAAGGAAAAAGGGAACAAGGGCTCACGCGAAATACGAGTGACTGCTTAAAGGCACAGTTCACGATAAAAAGGTTTTTAAGACTGCCCCACACGATGAATTTGAGGCCCCCGCGTATACCATACCTGGCGCTACAAGGTCTGAAAACGGCCTATGAAGGGAGTTATAAAGGCTCAAAGATTGGCCCGTGTGTATCCTCGGACGAATTTCACCGGCATTGTAGAGGCTCCACCGATAACAAGAGAACCCATGTAGGAAGTTCAAACAACTTGTCATGACCCATAGCGACAGTAAAAAAAAGTTCTATACAGTTCTAGCTCGATGTAGTCAGCTCTTTGTGCAATTGCAATAATTGAAATCTCGTCCCAACCCCCCCCCCATGTTATTTTCGCCACGGCAATCTCGTCCAACCTCTATTTGCCCTACTTTGGTGGAGCCATATTTTCCTCAAAATCGGCGAATTCTCTTGCTTTCTTCGCTACCGATGAACCATTCGCAAACTATAATTCCTCTTTTCGAATCAAAACGTTTACCACAAAATTACCGTGAGCTGTGCTTTCAAATATAACTTGTATTCAACATGAGACGAAGAAAATATAAACCCGTGATGTCTGCAATTCAATCTAGCTTTACCCACACCCAGTTTCAGACTACCACCTCTGGTAAGAGAGGGGTCTCAGGGTCAGGAGCTGATTTGGATCCATGCTTACTTTACCCTCGATGAGCTTGAAGGGTAACCGCAAATCATTTCTCTGCCGTCTCGACTGCAATGAGGCTCAGCAAAAGTTCTTGTTCCGGATTTTGCTAGAAGGGATCTGGTCATACGTAAACCCTATAGCTCTTATTAATAATTTCCTCATGGAATTATTCTGCAATGACTCTAACTTCTTAATTGTCCTGACCTTGTAAGGATTGAACCCTGGACTATAGTCTAGCACAGGTCTAAGATAAATCTTGTAAGCGCGCAATAACACTGGAGCACTCGTCGTCAACAAGGCTCTGAATATGTTGTACATGATAACTGTTGCCTTTCTCGCGATTGTTTCACAATGAGCGTCAAAGCTAAGATCAATTCTAATGAGGAAACCCAGGTCAAATGTCTGTTTGGCAGCCATCAACGGTGCGTCATTAATGTAGTAGTTGTGAGGTTTATTAGATTTGCCCAGATGCAGAACCTCAGATTTGCTCTCAGAAAAGGTAAATTTCAATCCCATGACCACTGCACAACAATATCTGAGGCAGATTGAAATATTGTGGCCTCATCGTTGTTTACGACAGAAAGATGACGTTTGAGATCGTCCGCGAACGCACAAACCCCAACGGTACTCTGCTCGGGTGTGTGCCGATTCGTGCGATTCTGGGTGCGCGCGGCAAATTGCGCGGCGGAATTCGTGATGATCCGAACGACTCTGACGCCTATTATTGGGGTACAAACTTGAAGTAGAAAAGTTGGGTATGGGCAGCTGATCCTACTAATCCACTCTACTTCAAGTTTGTGCTCCAATAGTAGGCGTCAGAGTCGTTCGAATAATCATGAATTCCGCCGCGCAGTTTGCCGCGCGCACTCAAAATCGCACGAATCGTGCGTCCCCCACTCTGCTCGAGCAAAGATAAAGTTCATGCATGGAAATGTTGAACAAGATGAGAGATAGAACCCCATCCTGTGGAAAACCACTGTTTGCCACCCTAGGCAAAGAAAAAGGATAAGTCAAACGAGCGGAAAATTGTCGTCCTGTGATAGAAGCATCGATCCACGCAACGATACGCGGATAGATACCAACCACCTTTTCTCCAAAAAATATTCAAATATGCCATTAGGTGTGGTAGGAACTCATGATGATGCTGTCTGGTTGCTGAAGATTTCATTTCAATGCTGTCTTCCCCAACATCCTCGTCAAAATAGTAGTTGTGGTAGTAGTAGTGAAATCGGTATTCAGGCAATGGAGCGAGTTAACTGCATGTTTAATGGAAGTAAGCAATAAAATAAATTTCATCTCGAATAGATTCTCTCTCAAATAGCTGTAAATAAGACAAAATAAAACAACAAACAAAACAAATAAATATTTACGAAGGAAGTCGAGTCACAGAACAGCGTTGAGAAAGAACGGGTGTGAATTTAATGTTAGTAAGAGCCTCATCTTCTCAGCGTCAAACGTTAAGTTTGAACGGACATTGAGCGGGGACTCGCAAGTTTGGCCTATTACTGGGATGATCATTAAAGATCATCGCGGAAAACATCTGAACAGATACGAAACCGGTCATATCATCGTCGGCCACTGATCAGCGTCAACCACGTGAGTAACACACCGCGGGATACACCGTAACCAGCATCTCTGTCGCGCGCCTGTTACAGTCGCACATGTGACAGTAATTACTGTTTAGAAAATGGGAGCTCAAAAAGTTTATATTCATTGACAAAACTT